CCCCAAAACCCCAAAACCCCAAAACCCCATGTGAATAGAAAACTTCAAATCTAGATCAGTTAAAATTTTAAATTTGATTTATTAAGAAAACTTCATAATAATGAAAGGATAAGCCTCGCAACCAACTTAGAATGACAAAATACCTAGAACTCGTAGACTCCGTGCCAAGAACAAGTCCGGCACAGTCACCTATATTGTTCAGACAGCCAACGACTAGGCTTACAAGAACTAATCTAAAGTAAATGATTCATCTGTGCAATTAAATGGCGGCAATTTTCAGAGCACTTAAATGAATCACTAAGTTAATTAAGAGTAATTAAATATACAAATAAGGATAGAGCAAGAGAAAGTGGTGGCTTTATTGGAGAATATATCTCAAACTGCCAAAGAACTCGACTATAGAGTGCTTGACGAACTGAATTCAATAGACAACGAATAATCTTACCCGCTCAAATCCTTTTTAAACAGTGTTGAAATGCTAGCACACCATTGGTCAATGATTAAAAAGGAAAGGTATACATATAGAGTAAATAATCATGGACACCTTGATATCTATATTAATGAAATGCCAAGAGCGATCAATGAAGGCAAGATTTTTAATATCAAAACTTTCGTGCTTTCATGCAAAACCCCCTACATGAAAACTAAAGATGGCTCAAAAGTTTACATTAGCAAAGAGTACAGTAACGCTGCCGGGAAACTTCATCTAAGCTTCTATACACTTCATGATTTAATAGTCAGAGATTTGAATTAGAAGTTAGAGGTAATCAATAAATAAACCAGCAGAGGAAGCATTATGGCGTTCTTCAAGACTATTTTCTCAAGTGGATAGGAAGGAGTCTTTCACCCCCTTTTCAAGGAGACTGTTTTGCTCAGGAAAATCAAGAAGCATGTAAAGATATTTGAACTTTGCATCAGAAACTTCGAGGAGACATATATAGCAATGATTAAAGAGCTTTAAACCAAAACCTTTAAAATGAATGTTGAGAGTAATGTAGAGACGAGCATTGTAATGCAAAGAAGACAAGACTGCTAAAAGAGTAAAGACTTAACCAAAATAAAGCTAGTTGAGAATCAGCTTTTCGATCTAGAGGGCAATGTATTAACTAGCCTGAAAAATAGTTTCAACCAATCTATGGTGAATGCATCCTTGAATAGTAGATTCGTAAATGAAAACACTCAATCAATAGTAGGAAATAATGCTGGCCCACATGCGCTTATTGCGCCAATGAACAACCTAATGAAAATAGCTTAAGATGATAATTCCATCAAACCATCATCCTCCTCTTAAGGTCCAAGCAGTAGAGTCAAACAGAGTATTTCACCAACTAACAATAACTTGAAAAACACAAACAGACAAAATATGTCTTAAAGTAGCAGAAATAGCGGCTTCAGACCTCTGTAATCTTTATAGAATATTGACTCCTAAAATGTTTTCTCAAGGAAGTAGGAATTTATTGGAAGTATAATTAGCAACAGCAGCCAGTAATTACTAATGAGCCAAGCTCTTTAGAATGTTAAAAAGAAGACAATTAGTCCTTAGATCATCAAGCATAATTATCCACTCTAAAACTCCGCATAAGGAGGGACTCAAATACATAATAATAATTTTTCAAATGATGAGCTCGTTGTCAAATATATCGACTTGGTAGATGATAAGGAAAACAATCATGCATAGTCTAATTTGCAAAAAGGGTCAATGAACAACTATGCTTTCCAAACCCCTAACCCCTATTAAAATATGATCCAATCAACCAAGAATAAGTTGATGCAGACCTAAACTACTGGTTTCTCAAATACTCCTGGATAAAATATAAGCACTTTTGCTGGCACTATAATTTAAAGAGGCAGCAATGCAAACGAATACCCTCAAAGCACTAACACCTAGAAATCAAAGTCACCATTGCAAATGAATTCTCATTTTAGCAATACATATAACGAACCAAATATTCTAAAAAATCAAGCTGACAACAAAGCTAACTATAAGAACATGATGAACAACAGTAAGAGAGTTATAAAAACTAGTCGAAATTTGTTCAATGATTAGAATAACAACAGTTCCAGCAATATCAATATAAATCCAAATAACATTTCTCAGTCTGCCGATGCTTAAAAAGATTAAGTTCTTTTGCACAAGCAGATTTCTAATCTAGAATATCCGAATTACTATTGTAACAAAAATAGCTTTGGGGGTGGCAACGAAGGCAACAGTAGTTCAAATCTATAAAAATACCTTCCTCTAAATGGGTCAAGACATATAAATGACGATCAGAGTGCTGAGAACAGCTTTGATAATAGCAGTAATGACTCTATAGAGGATAATGATGACCAGAGTGATGATATGTCGCATGATGATGACAGAAATTAGATCAACTAGTCATCAATGCACAGAGCTAGCAGAATCGAGTAGAGATTGGAACAGATCAATCCAAACGATTTGATTGCTTACAACAATTTAATCGAGTAGTTCAACTTATGAGAGTTGAAAAATGAATGCAAAATTATCATAATTTTACCTAGCAGAGAATTAATACTAATACATTTATTTATAAGCAAGTTAAATAAATAAAAACTTAATTAAGACATACATGCATCAAGCATGCTTTATAATCATGATCATACTTATATGAATGTTTTTAAGCCGAGCCTTTATCTTCATATTTTTTATTGATGCTCTACACTGCCTCCTGTGCTTGCAAGCCCCTTCTTCGATTTCATCTTCATTTTCCTCTTGGCTTCTTTGTATTCTTTCTTATTTTTCATTTTGTCATCACTAACAAGTCCCTTGTTTTTGAAATCTTTATGTGACGGTCTTTCCTTTGATTTTGAGTCGCCTCTCTTCTTCTCCTCATCATTATCCATGATTACATCCTATTCTTATTCCTTCGCTTATCTCTTTTTCTCTTTATTCTTCCCTAGTCCGTTTTGCTGATGCATTTGAGTAAGCTCTTTAATCTTATTCTGCGATTTTTCTCTGTTTTCTGCCTATATCTACTCTATACGTCTCTAAGCTTTTTCTTTTAGATCCACTAAACTCAAATGCTGGTCCTGCTTGCCTGTATTCTTTTACCCTTATGTCTTATTGCCTTTCTATTCTTGTTTCTAATTCTTATCCTTGCTTTTCTTATCCTTGTGGCTTTAGCCCTTATTCTACTGATTGGCTATTTTATTGTCTATTTCCATATAGTCTCTTGGGATTTGTCTGTAGTTATCTGGAATATAGGAGAAGACATCAGTGAAGAAACTCAATGCATCATTAACAAGCTGTTGCTCTTATGGGACTTGAATTAGAACACTTGAGGTCTGCTAATTGGTCTAAGTGATTTGGGGTTTATTTGATATAGTATATTGCTTATCAACCATAGTTATTTATTAGAAAATAATATGAAATATATAATAAGTACTAGTTTTAATTCAATAGGAAAATATCTTTAGAGAAATATAACTTAATAATAATATCACAAAGATCACTATTTTTAATAGTGCATCATCCTGAGCTACACTATTTGCTATTCCATCTCTTGTTCTCTCAGTTTAAACTCTTGTTCTCTCTTCTGAAACTCTTGTTGAAACTCTTGTTGAATCTATTGTTCTCTCTTCTGAAACTCTTGTTGAAATTATTGTTCTCTCCAGATCATCTCAAGCTCCATGTTCTTAATTTTCTTTTGGAGTTTTCCGTTAGTCTAGCTTGCTTCTTAAAGATCTTGCTAAAGTTTAGCATTAGAACCTGATCCTTGACTTTACATTGAAGCGTCTGAATTGGAGCTTGACCCTTCCTGTGAGCTAGGATTCTAATTGACTTGAGGAATCTAGGTGTTGATTTGCTCAGTATCTTCCATATCAAAGTCATTGTTTTGAGATAATCTCTAATCAACGTTATCTTTGTTTTACATTTTTTGATAAATTAGTTTATTAAATCTTGGTAATTTCAATTTTTAAATCTAATTATATCAGAATCTGGTCGGAACACATTTCATTCAAGGGGTTTTGGGGTTTTGGGGTTTTGGGGAGAT